AGAGATTAGGGTAAGGGTTCAAATTACCTCGAGGGGAAGGTGTTGGGCACCCCTCGAGGTCCACAAGTGTGGGTCCCGGCCGTATCTCATGCAATCCATGTGGGGGTACAAGTAGCAATCAAGGTTGTTTAATTTATTAATTTATTTAATCTTACTAAGTGATAACAAATATAAAACAATTAATACTATTAATTTAAGCATGCAAGGCTAGGTGATGACAATAAATAAATAATCAAATTTTATTTTTTATTTAAGCATATGAGACTATGTTATAAGACGAATTGGGCAAAAATTAAGCAATTAGTATATGCAAAAGTAAAGTTAAAAATTGATAAGTTTTGAATAGGAATTTTTATTAAAAAAATGTTTGTTTCTTTATAGGGATGATGCCACGATATTATTGATCGCGCTCCTCCACCATAGAAACAATTTTGATTTGAGGTCGGTCTAAAAATAGTTATGTTTTGAAAAATGATTTAAAGGATTTAGTTCACACGTAGGCACATAAACATTTACATATAAATGCACATAATTCTTTTTGAAATTCATGGGAAGTGGTACTTCCGGGGACGCATCGGGTTTAAAAAATTGGAACTAGACCTCGTAGTTCCTTTGACTTTCCCACTAACGATAGGTTAGGAGATAGTACTTTATAATTTATTTCAAAAATAAGCAGAGTCATAATCAATCCAAAATTTAAAGAAAGATTGAATTATGTTGCAAGGTTTTGATATGAAATATTTTTAAACTAAGTAACTTGCTAGATGCATAGATGATTCTAAATAAAAAAAAGTTGCATAATGAATGCGGAAATCTTCAAGAGGACAAATAGGATTTCTAATGATATTAACTAATTTTAAGGGGAGGGCACAAATATGCACAAACAAATTTTGTTAAAAAAAATTATTTACAAACCTATAGACATGATTTCTAGGTGTTTTAAAAAAAAAAAAAACAATGTGACATATATATGCATGATTTTGTAAAAAAAACAATGTAACATATATATGCATGATTTTGTAAATGATATGAACAAATTAAACCTTAGACATGGTTTCTATATGACAAGATGATGCTAAAATTATAACATTATTAAAACACCTAATCGGCCTATTAAGTTACTATGATTTGCTTTTAACATTAACGGAATCTAGTTTATTATTTTTCAGACTTCATTAACAAAAGTGTCAAGCAAATTGAAAATTGATTAGATTATAACACCTATAAACATTAAATCTAGGTGGTTAAAGACAAACCTATAGGCATGATTTCTAAAAAATATAACGAACAAATGAGCATATAAATCCCTCTCCCCTAGACAACCCCCCAAATAAATTTATTATATGATCTTTAGGGTTACAATTGTTACAACATTCGAATAAATAAAATAGCGAAAAAAATAAAAATATATAGATATATATATACATTCAAACAAATAAATAAATCCTTCTTCAGTTAATCTTCAACTTGAACTTCAAGTTTGGAACCTGTTAAAGCAGTCAAATAACGTTTGAGTAGATTAGAAATGGTAGCAATGAAAAGCAAGTTGATCCAACCTTTACTCGAACAAAAGCAAAAAGCAAGGTAGCGAAGAAGAGCACTTGAATGTTTATCGAAATATTAATGTATTTAGAGTAGCAAGAGAGCAATGACAATGAAGAGTGATGAGAACTTGTGATTTTGAGAGTGAATGAGTGTATGTATTGTTGAGTTGATCAATTCCTCTCCTTAAACAAATAAAAGGGGTCTTATTTATATAGCAAAGAGGGGTGCACTTAATAGGGAAATAAATAAATTAAGGAGTCAAATGTAATACTATTTCCTTATTTTTTGAAGGAAATCAAATCAGCCAAATTATTTAAATATTTTACCAAATATAAGCAAGTAATAAAAATGAGAAGAGTAATATATATTTTCCTTAAAAAAAAGAAGCCAACATCAGAAAATATTATTTTACCATAAATAAGCAAGTAAGAAATCAATGCAATTCTCTTGACTTAATTAAGATCACCTTTCTAAAAATACAACATGTAAGAATATTAAAGTTAATCAAGGTAATAAATAATCAACTAAAGATGAATATAATAATTTAAGGGATACAAGAAATCAACAAATACCATTTAAAAGACACCGTAACAAATCACAATTGGATCAATATATACTTACTATAAGCAAATCCTAAGCTTAATGAGCTCAACTAAATAAATTAAATTGGATTGAAATTAAGTTATAACTCAAACTATTATACCATTTTCGATAAGACAACCAAGTGATTCAAATACGAAATTACAAAGTTACTCTAACTCTATAGGTTATGATAGATGGAATGAAGTCAACCACACATAATGTATTAACAAAATTGAATTACAAACAAACAATTATAACAACGTTTCATTATATGCCGTAATTAAGCTAGATAACCAATTATTCTAATTTTCAAAAGGTTTACAATCGATTACAAAGAGGTAAAATGTCACCAATTTTTTTTTATTACATCAAGAGGGAATATGTGATAATCAAATCATATGGGAAGCTCATTCCAACGATAATCATTTTGGTAAACCAAATGAAATAATCACAATGAACGCACTCTAAGATTAAATGACAAGTAAAGAAGCTAAACGAAAATACTCAAGCTGAAGTCACTTATTTTTTTAAATTAAACATGCTGAAAATTTTATATATAGACACAATAATAACATTAGGAGATTGAATAATAAACTAAATAAAGAAATCGAACCTGGACGGATCTGTTAAGATCCATCTTTGAGTTTCGCCGGATTTCGATGTCATTCTTGCCGGAATATATGGCCAAACCTGTCACTGTTGGGGCTGATCGGAGTTGCTGGTTTTGATCTGCTGCTGGTACGTCCTTCGCTGGAAAATAGAGAGGAAGAGCGAGCTGCTGTCTCGCTAGTTGCTGGCTGCAAAAGGAGACGGAGAAAGGGAGAACAAGAAGAATAGAAGCGATGGGAGAAGGGGAGAGGTAGGCGGCTGGTGGGCTGCTGGTTGCTGCCTTTACCGGCGGCTTCTGTTTCCTTGAGTTGCTACTGGCGTGCGCCTCTACAGGCGCTGTTGCTGCGTGCGCTGGTGCTGCTGGCGTGCGCCTCTACAGGCGCTGCTGCTGCGTGCGCTGCTGCTGCTGGCTGGCGTCGAGTTGTTGCTGCCGGATGAAGCTGCTGGGCGTTGGGGTTGTTGGCGCTGCTGCTGCTGTCCACGGTTGCTGCTGCTGCTCGAAGAAAAAAAAGAAGAAGAGGATATGGGGATAGGGAGAAGAGAGGAGAAGAGGGAGGCGGAAGAAGAGAAGAGGGAGCGACGGCTTGGAGAGAGGGGGGGAGAGTGTATGTTTAGGTTTTGGTCATTTGATGTTGAGAGAATTAGAGAGTTAATCACAACCATTAGATTAGATAGCGATGAAGGGTTAGGATTCGATCTAGGATTTATTTTTAGGGATGAACGGATGAGATCAAAAGATGAAGTTTTGAAATTAGATTAGCAAAAAAAATATAGAATGG